GGGCACTGGGCCCACTCGCTCCGGGGACGGGCAGGGACAGCGGCGGCTAAGCCCGCGTCCCCACTCGGGACGAGACAGGCCGAGATGCATCCAGGGGGCCCCACACCCCGGCTCCCCGGCCCACAGCGAGCTGCCCGTCTGTAGCCCCTGGGTCCCAGCCTGGTGGACGAGGCCTGGGGAAAACAATCGACCTTGCAGAAAAGCGCAACTGTCCTTAACGAAGGCGGTGCCTTTCGTACGGCGCTACCCGGCTTCTGCTGTTTCTTCACTCATCAAGGCCAAGGCTGCCGCCCTGGAGCTGGGGTGGCACCGGCAGCAGTGAGGGCCGGAAGCTGGGCTGAGCCGGGGTGGCAGGGACGACCGGAGGCCCCAGGGGCCGAGTGGTCAACACGGAGGCCGGAGGCTCGGGAGCTGTGGCGCGAAAGCCACCAACACGACGCCCCAGGCCAAGTGAGCAGCCGCTCCGCAGGACTTGGGGACACAGTGCTGTCCCGCTGCTCCCCCAGGGTGAGGGCTGCCACCCGCCCTTCCCGACGATGCGTCTCCAGACCTACGCTGCGGCTGGGCTCGGGTTCAAGCCTGTTTACCCAAGTCGCCCTCTGAACTCAACTGCGATTTTAACCTAGAAAGCAGAACCTACAGCAGCCTGGGCAGCCTCCCCCTTCCCGGGAGAGCAGAGGGGCCGCGCTGAGCGGGCAGAGCTGGAGGGAGGCGCGGCGTTTACAAACTAGACCAGAAACCTTTATTCCACAATCATGTGCTCGGGCTGGGGAGAGGCCCTCGCGGCGGCACCTTCAGGCAGGAGCGGGACCTGGGCGCTCTCGCGGCTCTGCGGCAGGGCCGGCTTCACTCAGAGCCACCTCCTTTCCTGGGGCCACGGGTCCTCAGCTCGTGCCACATCTTCACCAGCGGCTCCCTGTTCTTCCAGATGAGCTCGTGGCCGTAGATGACGTACCATCTGGGGAGACAGCAACCGGACCACACTCAGGCAGCGCGACGGGGCGGGTGGGAAGACCGGCATGGCGCAGGCTGACTTCACAGAGGATGCTGTCATTCCCCATGGAGCTTACTGAATGTCAATAAATGGGTTTGCAAGCTCAGCATGGTGGCGCACGCCGTTACCCCAGCATCCAGGAGGCTGAGGCAGGAGCATCACTCGCTATGAGTTCAAGGCCAGCCTGGGCTCCATAGCGAGATCCTGTCTTGAAACCAAAGAAACTTCTGTTGTCCTACAGCCTCAAGCCCAGCCCCGCCCAGAAGTGAGCATCACCCTCCCCTAATGAGCTGATTTTCACGTGGCTCGCCAAAGCCAGACCCCATGGCAGCCAACTCAAAGCCCCAGCTCTTGTCACCAGTCAGGTGAAGAAGTATCCCAGGCTCTAGTGACTTCCATGCCGACGGCCATTCCCCACCTGGCCACAGAGCTTCGCCCACTCATCCGAACCTGAGCAGCCCTTTCTGACAGCTCCAACCTATCCCAGCTTTTTGTTTCTGGTACTAAGGATTGAACCCAGGGCCTTCACAGTGAGCTATGGCCCCAGCCCTGTTGTGTTTTACATTTTTGAGACAGGGTCTCACAAAGTTGCCCAGGCTGTACTTGAACTCGGGGTCCTCCTGCCTCAGCCTCCCAGACTGCTGGGATTTCAGGCATGCACCCACCCACCTGGCTCCCATCTTCTGGTTAACGACGACACCCTCAGCTATTGGCCATGGCACCCAAGGCTCAGAGCGGTATAGCCACTCACTCCAGCTGCACAGGGAGAAAGCCATGCTCCGAGCAGGTGAGCCCTGCACTGGGGCCAGCCACCCTTGAGCGCACAGGCCCAGGGACCTGACCCAGCACTTGTGGGCCCCAGCAGGGTTCCTGGGGGGGCAGCAGTTCAGGACAACTTGCTTTCTCATCACCTTCCCCCAAGTCTGCATCCCCTGTGCAGACTGGACTGAGTGAATCTTTGCATCTCTCAGACACCTGACTTGAGAAATGACTCTGAGATTCATATCAGAACAGCAGTATAAAATTTTTTTAAATGTTCAGAACGTTTGTTTTTTAAGAGGCAGCACTTGAGTCTGAATCTTAGTATTTACTGCAGTTAGGGCCAGGGATTTAGCTCAGTGTTTCTACCGCCTGCCTCGAAAGCTCAAGGTCCTGAGTTCAATCCCCAGTACAAAAAAAAAAAAAAAAAAAAACTACAATAGTTAAAATGTGACTGAAAATACATTTAAAAAATACATGATCAGCATTAAAAATTTGAAAATGAAAAAAATCCATAAATTTACAGAAAGAAAACTTAAAAATATGGAAATCAGGTCAGGTATGATGGCTTATGCTGTAAGCCCAGCTCTCAGGAAGCTTGAAATTTTGAGCCCAGCATGGGCCATTTAACAAAACTTTGTCACAAAGTAAAAACTAAAAAAGGGCTGGAGGTAGAGGTCAGTGCAAAGGCCCTGGATTCAATCCCCAGTACTGGGGACGAAAACAGCATATTAATAGGCATGGCAACAAAATTTCTTCTCTGGGCCTAAAGTAATATTCTCTGGTGAATTTAAAACAGAAAAAAGACCCCCTGGCATTCAAATACAGTTGTAAAAATCCCTGCAAGAAATTGGGTGTGGTGGTGCATACCTGTAATGCCAGCGCTCAGGAGGCTGAGGCAGGAGGATTCTCCTGAATTTGAATACAGCCTGCGCTACAGTGAGTTCAAGACCTGCCTGAACTACACAGCAAGACTGTCTCAGAAAACAACAACAACCCTGTCAAGAACTCTTCATTAATAAGAAGGAAAATACTTTTAAATCTTTGGGCACTTACCGACCAGAGCCCAGCTCTTTAACCTTATGCGCGTGGTGCTCTAAGGACTGAACTCCAGTGTCACCGGAGATCGGCTCCACTACAGAGCCTCAGCCCAGGGCTGGGGGATCCCTGGCCCTGGGATGATTCTGCCAGCACCCCACACAGCTGCCCTTCTTTAAGCAGCTTCCTGACCTGCAGAATAGGATGCTCCCGGGGGACACGAGGCCTGAATTCGCCGGCGTCACAGCTCAGAGCCGGAGCACAAGCACAGGGTCAATGTGTGTCAGCCAGGACTGCTGCACTTGCAGATGGTGGGGACTGGAGGTGTGGGTCAGGGCTATAGGATATAAAGCCAGGGAAACGGGCAGGCGGACCCCAATAGGACCTTTACCATCAACAAAATCGGGGCACTTTAACTAAAACAAAAAGTGGTGATTAAAAGCTGTGCATGTGGCAGGTACCTGTAAGCCCAGAACTCTGGGAGGCTGAGGCAGGAGGATCCCAAGTTCAAACCCACTCTGGACAACTTAGCATGAACCCGTCTCAAATTTTAAAAAGGGTTGGGGGGGGGGATGTAGCTTGATGCAAATGCCCTGGGTTTAATCCAATACCACAGACCAGCAAACAAATTAAAGAGATTAGGTTTCCAGCTTTTCTAAATTCACTTTGAAGGAAAGATGAATTCAAAATGTAAGAGAGTTAATGGATGAAAAGGAGTTAATTAGAAATAGAAAAAAGAAAAGATTCCTCAGTCTTTAGATCCGAACTTTAAAATGCAGTTGATCTAATTCTTTGCAGGACAGAAAAAGCCGTGCAATTATAGCTAGGGAGACCCTTTAGGAGCACGTGGAGCGCTCCAGGTAAATTCAGAGCTCGCAGCGAGCCCCTCTGCAGTCCCTTCCTCACCCTGGCACAGCAGGGTGGTGTGCACTATTTATACCACGCTGCTGTTCCCACGGGGACACACGTGCTGCTCTTCCATCGCCACTTTGTAAATGGCATTTAATTGCACCGCCTACTGGGCAAGTCAGCAGCACTTCAAATAGTTTTTTCTTTCTTTAGAATTAACAAGTTTTTCCACTGTCATGAAACAAAACAAAAACAAAGGGTAAGGGGCAGCCTCTATGCGAAAGACAGGCCACTCGGCCTGAGCCCCTCGCTGCAGGCTGGGCAGGCTCAAGGGTCCCTAGGACACTTCCGGGAAGGGGCAGAAGCCGGGAGCCA